TCTCTAATAAGAGGAAAATATGTGCAGACCTACAAGCTCTGTATAGCTCGCAGTGTAATAGAACATGTGAATTATCTTCCACTTCTTTACCACATATGCAACCCGTTCTGCTATAGGTGTTCTCTTATACCTGCGTACCACTAGACCAAATTGGCTCTCATTCAGACAAAGTTAAATTCACTTTTATTTGAATGCTCTTCCTATAATCTGGCACTGGTTTGAATGATCAGGACGACAACACTAAATGGGACACAACTGAATATAAATTCAGATACTCATTAGACCTCCTTCCCTATTGTTGGGACATTAACTGTCAGCTGACGCGAAGCAACAGCTACAGAAGGCAAGGCAAGCTACACGGATGTTCTCTTGTACCAACCAGAAGTTGATCTCAATTTGTGGGACGCTTGTGTTTAATTTCACTCAAAATCAAATGATCCTCTCATTACAACATTACACCTATAGCAATAATTGGGACCTCGTATCTTGGTCTTCAACTGCTTCTAAATTCATCGCTGGGGGCGCCCCGATGGTCAGTGGTTAAAGATGCCGAGCTTGTCAGTTGGAAAGCTGACAGCCTGGGCTCAAGACCCGAGTGACGCGTGACGGGGTGAGCTCCCGTTCCTTGCCCCAGCTCCTGCCCACCCAGCAGTTCAAAAGCATGCAAATGCGAGTAGATTAATAGGTACCACTTTGGTGGGAAGGTGAACAGCTTTTCGTGTGCCTTGACATGCAGCCATGCCGGCCACATGGCCACAAACATGTCTTCAGGCAACGCTGCCTCTCTTGGTTAACAAACAGAGATGAGCACCGCCCCCGTGAGTTGGGCACAACTGGACAGGGGAAATGTTTACGCCTATTCTTTAGTTACTCACTTACCTCTCTAGTCTACCGCTCTGGGTTTTCCTGTTGGTGCTCCATCCAAATACTAATTATATTGATTCTACATTAGCTTTTCAAGATCAGCTACGGTCAAGTAGATGCTGTCCACTGCTGTAGGCTCATTCGTGTCACAAGATCTTCGTATGCATCTTGTAGCCATCCTGAAGATTTTAGAACAACAATAAAAAGCCAATCTACTCAGCTTGCACTAAGGGTGGTATTTTTGCAAACACATACTGAGAATTCTTCGGGAATATCTAGTGCCCCCTGACATCAACACACAGTAGTTCCACACCAGAGAGGGAAAAGCTCCATGACTTTCCCTTAGAAAAGTCATCAAACGTTTTGATTTATGACTGTGGGTTAAATGAATCTTCTTACCAGCCTTTCATCTCGTCTCCTGTATGCTCCTGTTCAGTGCTTTGGCTGGAAGCCAGATTCTGTGCAGCCATGCTCCCGCCCCTACTCCAATTCAGAGGGCAAATCTCCGACCTGTGAGGGACCTGTTGCCTCCCTCTGGGTCTGATGAGATGCTGCCCCTTCTTCCCGCCCCCCCCCCCTCCGCCTCAGACAGGGCTCATGTGAGGCTCTTGAGAGCTCCCCCTCCATATCTGTCCAGCTGGAGAGCTTCTGGTCGAACCCAATGTTTCCAGAAGCTTCCACGTGAGAAGGTTGCGTCCCTTGGGGAAAAAACGACCGGGGGGGGGGTGTTCTGGTCCAAAAAGGATCTTGGAGTAGGTTTGTCAGACAGGGCTCATGTGAGGCTCTTGAGAGCTCCCCCTCCATATCTGTCCAGCTG